GGCGGGGGGGGCGGGGCCGGAGCGAGGACCCCCGCGGGGCCCTCCCGCTCATCCCGGGACCCCCCGGGAGCCCCCGAGATCCCCCTGAGACCCCCCTGGGAACCCTCGGAATCCCCCCGAGATCCCCCAGGGAACCCCCGGGACCGCCCTGGGAACCCCCCCGGAACCCCCGGGACCCCCCTGGGAACCCCCCCGGAACCCTCCGGGACCCCCCTGGGAACCCCCCCGGAACCCCCCGGGACCCCCGGGGCCGCTGGCACCGCCCGGGGACCCCCGCGACCCCCGCCCGGGTCTTACTCCCGGCTCCGGTTCGGGTCTAATCCAGCGCCGGGGTTTGATCCAAGCCCGGTTCTGGTCCCTGATCCGGGTCCGGTCACTGATCCCGTTCCAGGCTTTGATTCGGGTCCGCTCCGGTTCCGGTGCTGCTCCGGTTCTGGTCCCTAATCCGGATCCGCTCCGTGATCCACTGCCAGGCTTTGATCCAGTCCCGGTTCCGATCCGGTTTCAGTCCAGATCCGGATCTGATCCGGTTCGGCTCCAATCCGGGTCTTGCTCCGGTTCCGATCCAGCTCCTGCTGCCGATCCAGTTCGGGTTGTGCCGGTGGCCGGTCCCGACCCGTTCCGGTGCCGATTCCGGTTCGGTTCCGGTGCTGAACCCTGTCCGGTTCCGGGGCCGATCCCGGTCCGGTTCCGGTGCCGATTCCGGTCCGGTTCCGGTGCTGATTCCGGTCCGGTTCCGGTTCCGGTTCCGGTGCAGCTCCCGTTCCGGTCCTGGTCGGGTCCGGTCCGGTTCCGGTGCCGATCCCGGTTTGTTTCCGGTTCCGATCCCGGTCCGGTTCCGATCCCGGTCCAGTTCCGGTGCCGATCCCGGTTTGTTTCCGGTTCCGATCCCGGTCCGGTTCCGGTCCTGGTCGGGTCCGGTTCGGTCCGGTCCGGACCGGTCCCGATCCGGTGCCGGCTCTTTATAGCGGCCGGAGCGCATCAGCGGATCACGTGACCCCCCCTCCCCCTCCCTCTGTCCCCATCCCACGGAACTGGGGACACTGGGATGGACTGGGATGGACTGGGATGGACTGGGGACACTGGGATGGACTGGGATGAACTGGGATGGACTGGGGACACTGGGATGGACTGGGATGGACTGGGATGGACTGGGATGGACTGGGGACACTGGGATGGACTGGGATG